ATTTTATTTTAAATATTTCAGACTACAGATTAAGAAGGAGTATTTTCCATGTCTTTGTATAAAATAAGCCTAAAACTCTGAGGTTGAAAATAAGTCTTAAAGTAAATAAAGGTAAATATCACTGTATTAAGTGACTATTATGCCTTCCCCCTCTATTCCTATTTAAAATGTTTCAAAATAGAAATGGAAAGATTTTATATTGTTTATTACCTAGTTAATATGAAGCCAACCTCATGTTGAACGGTAACAAAATCTAAAGGTTCATGAATTTCAAGGACGAGAAAAGGATTGCCACTATCACCATTAGTACCGTACTTTAGTCTAAAAATTTGACCGAATGATATTAAATAGCACCATAAAACCAATTAATATTTGAAGGTAACATGTGAAAGTATCTTTACATTATAAATAATGCTGAGAAGATGTACTTTCCAATAGAAAAAATAATTGGTGAATAAAGATCTCATAAAATTATTGCAAGTAAAAGAACTTCACAGTGTAAATACTCAAAGCAACCTTTTTTAATTACTCTAAGAAATGAAAATCAAAATAAGATAAAATCTTGAAATCAGAATAAAAGGAGTTAAAACAAATTGTTGATATAATGAATGTGTGACAGAACAGTACTCACACATACTGCTGGAGAATGTATAAGAAAGAGTAAATGTTTGGTTGTACAAAACAAAAACAAATAAACAAACAATAATCCACATGTATTTCCTTTGACCTAGCAATTCTATTTCCAGTTCAGTCCATCATCAAGTAAATACTTTGCAGCCACTAAAAGTAAGGATATATATCTTACAGTATTCCAGTGATGTTCACAATTCATGTATAAGTTTTAAAAAGTAGGTTGTAAATATATATACAAAAAATAATAAAACCCTTCTGGACTCATCTCTGGGAATTGAGGATGTTTGTTTCAAGCTACACATTTTTCATTATTAAATAACAAGATAAAAAACAATAAATTAACTGTGCTTATAATTGATTATAAAAAAATAAAGAGAGACAAAAATTATCTTTGGTATCTAGGTTCTAGGTTTAATAGAAAAACAATTAGAGAAGAAATGGGCATCCTATGACCCCAGTGAGCTCCATCATATAGAACAGACTCACAATGTCTTATGTACCTCATATTGGAATATGATCTGAGAAACAAGGGAACATATTAGAACACTAGTAATTAGGCATCGCTCTTTGAGAGTATATAGTGGTAACAGAGTTCCAGCTACAGTTCAAATTTGGTTGAAACATACTATTGAATTTCTATAAGAGTAGGAGTTAACAGATGAAAGGGAGAAAAATAGGTCTGTGAAAAAAATTGAGATGCATGAACTTGAAAATGTTCTTCATGCCAAGGTAACTTAAATCTTAAAAAGAGAAGAATAGTATCTAGCTAACATATGTGAAAGTAAAAACCACAGAACTGTGTGGGTCAAAATTGTAATATATAAGACCATATCAGAGAATGAGTTTGCTTAAAGATAGGAGTATTCATTATGGGAATCATTTGAAAAAAAAAAAGGCAGTATATTAAGCCTATTCCAAATAGGGAAAAGTTGGGTGTAATTGTATAGAATAACTTGGCTCCTCCCACTGGTCAAAGAAAACCTCCGTAGCCTCTTCCTATTATCAAGAAAATAGTCACGGGAAGAGAATTGTTACTCAAGTCAAGAAGCAGAAGAAACACTCGTGGATGAAAACAAAAACACAAACAAACAAAAACAATTCCAGGAGAAGTCAATTTGCAGGGTGATCGGCTCATAAACTCCCAACTGGGCAGGTCATGGGGGTAGTCATGTCCCAGGCATACAACTCCTTTACTAAAGGCTTATTTTTGCTTAAGCAAACCCTGTATATTGTTTCTGTGCATCTGGGTTAACACACCTTGGACTCCCTCTTTTCAGGCCCTCCCTCTGAGACATAACTACACTGAAGAGCAAAGTACCTTAACTATCCTATAATCCACTTGCCACCTTGCTTTCTCCCACCTTCATGTAATGTTCTTTACATACCTTCCTTAATTTCAAATAAATAAAAGAAACCACAAAACTCTTATTCTCTGTAGCATTTGAGATCCTACTTCCCCAGCAAGCTTATGGTTTCATATTGGCTCAAACAAACTCTTATAAATATTCTATAGAGGTTGAGTGCTTCTAGTAGTATAGAGCTCTTATATTTACTGTAAAGGATTTTAGAAATGACAGTGTTAGAAGTGTCAAATGACAAGTGAAGAAAATTAACTAAAAAATCAAATTTGCATCCATTACTAAAATATCATAAACATGGATTATATGGTCATTCCAGAAAGGCTGTGGCTTGAAAACATTTATTGGAATTATTCCCAGATCATTAAATATCCAGGGAATCTTATACAATAGCACTGGAATCAAATTTAAATCATACAGGAATCCATGCAAGTATATGTCCTTACCATATGATGGCATCACCTTCTGATTGCCAGGGTTAGTGTTCTCTACATGAGATGGTAGACCAGATGAGTTCCTCATCATCTGCAGAATGGTAGTTTACAGTTGAAGTTGAAAGTTAATTTGTTTTATCCACACTAAGCTCTCTTCATTAATATAACTTAATGGGTTAGAAGAGTAGTTCTCAAAGTTTGGCTCATGAAGCTGCAGCACCAGTGTCACCCAGCCTACTGAGCCCCAGAACTACTGAATGAGGAACACTGGGGAAACAATCTGTTTCATCAAGATCTCCAGGTGATTCTCGTGAGCACTAAAGGTTGTGATGCTCTGGGCTAGAGACCCATAGACCACAATTTGATTGTAAAGTAAAAATCCCCCAAAACATGATGGGGATCAACGGTGAGGTGATAATACCTCTGAAAGGCATGGAAACACCATACAAATCTTTATAGGAAATATGCAAGTTCATAGATGGACATGAAAACAGATTGAGAGGAAAAAAGACAGGGGTTAGAATAGAAATCAGGTGGGATGGGAACAAGGGGAAAGAGGTGAAGGAAATGAAAGGAGGAAAAACCAGGTGGAAGTGGGAGACTGAATCAAGTGGAATAATCCAGAAAAAGGTGGAGAAAACTGATGGAGAGAAAGAAACCAGGTAGCAGGAGAGAAAGGGGTCAGGGGAAGAGAGGAAGAGGAGCATCAGTATTAAACTGCACCCAAAATATTCTGCTTTAAGTGTAATTAACTCTGCATCTTTGGGAAAATTCAAATTGATCAGTTATTTTACATTTTACTGTGTGAAGTGTTGAGAAGTAGGACTGAATACTTTGAAATATGGACACATGCAGAGTTCTTTTCTATTCCAGGGAAGCAGACCTCATAGAAAATACCAGCCTTCCTGATAATATAGGCTGGTATCTTTTTTTCTACTTTGTATTGTTATGCAATTACAGTTGTCCCCACTTTCATGCCCATGACTCTCCTTTGCTCAGCCCACTCCGTCTCCCACGTTCGATCCTCCCACCCTGTCGTCCTTGTCTGTGGTTCCTTTATACATGTTTAGGATGGTATATCTTCAATTGGGGAGTGAGTTGTACCAATTTTCAGTTATAAGCCAAAGGTAAGTACTGTGTATGTGTATGATTTAACCATATGAAAAGTGTATATGTAACACATATTTAATGATCATACAATATATAACCAAAAAAGTCTTGATATAAAAGTGGTAGAATGCTCACTGATTATATATTTATACATATATTTAAGCATATGTACATATAGTCCATGAAAACATCAAGTGATTTTTTTCTCGTACAAGTGTTATTAAGAAGAGTTAAATTTAATCTAGTCTATTTGTGTATAGCTGCTACTTAATGTTATATTTTCACAGAAATAGAAAGGGGGTACTATGTTATAAAAGCAAGTGTGTATATATGTATATATATATGAATATATATATACACACACATATATATACATGTTTTTTCTAAGGCAATTACATATATTTCAACAATTCTAGCACATTTTATATTATTTTATTCTTACTAAAACCACATTGGAAATGTAAAATATCACATACTGTTACCAACTTTTTAGCAAACTTGCCAAAATTCATGCACTTAAATATATTTTCATCTTTGAAAAGCTAATCTGGATGGCCATATGTTTATTCCAATGATATCACCATTTCCATTTTCTGAACTTATCTTTTTAAATTGCCTCCAAAACCTTCAGCATATTACTTTAAATATCAAATAGAAAAAAATAAGTTTCTTTTTAAGATGAAAATCCAAAATTGGGTCAGTTCAATAAAATGAAATATCAAACTTGTAAAAATTATTTTACTGAAAATTAGTTGTGATTTAAAAGTGACACAAATAATTTCTTCCTGCATGGCCTCTGTGTTGCTTTCAATAGGCAATTATAATAAAGAAGTTTATTATGATCACTTCAATGGAACACCAAGCATAAAATTGCAAGTAACATAAATTTGAATGGTTAATTTCTTATATTTTTATATCAAAAGTTGCTTTATTACTATGTAGATGCTGTGAGTCTTATTTATGACTTTAAAGAGGAGATAGTATGTTTGTGATTTTGTTTTTATTTAAATCTTATTAATGCTGGGGTATAAAACTGACGTAGAAAATACAAAAACCAAGTTTTATTTTCAAACTAAAAAAAAAAAATTGGCCCTCAATGTGCTTAGGCAGCCACAGAGGAGGTTGAAGGGCAGTACTAAAGCTGTTTAGGAAAAATGATTGGGAGGTGGTAGCAGCCTGTGTTTTCGTCAGACCTTTGACATATACATCATTTTCTTAATGGTAGAGCCTGGCCTTATTAGCCTCATTTTCATGAGCCAAGGCCCTCTAGTCAGCAATGTAATTGTCCAAAGAAGCAATTCTATTACTCCAAGTGAAGACATTTTTACTTTGCCAAATGAGAAAGCGGAGTATAATGCCAATCATTAGACATATATGAGATGTTAAATATATTATAATTTCCACTAGATTATTTGATTTCTCAAGGAATACTTGCCTCTAAATCCAGGGACACAGGTGCCGAAGAAATAGCCACTTAAAATGATACCAGCCACTCCAGTTTTGCAGGGCATAGATTTACAATCTTCAGTTTCTGTTTCACAGATTTTTCTTTTATATATTTGCAGACAGCTACAGTTACAGCTGTGCAAATGGACTCCGCAGAGGCCATGTGATGATGTACTCCGGTTTCTGAAGCAATCTCCAGCGTTGAGAACACAGACTCTGTCAGTGTAACTGAGAGAACAGCTGCATCTGAAACATGCAAAGACAAAAACCCAATTAGTCTTAAAGATAACATATGTAAAATATTTATCTCATACTTACTCAAATACACAGGATGAGAAACATAATAAAGATGGCTGTGGGATTAAAAAATATTCTTGTAGAAAGCATCCATATTTAGCAAAGTTTAATTTTGCATATTGTGCAGAATATTGAATGAAAAGAAGTTTTGCTATAGACAGACCTAGATTCAAGTACAGGTTCTGCCACTTAATTGCTATGTAACCTAGAATAGTATGGTGTTATTAAACCTGCTGAGGCTAAATGACAGGAGGTATATGCATTTCAGGATTATTGTAAAGATATGCAGTAAAGTTTTGTAGTGAGTGTTTGACAACTAGTCTTTTTTTTGTAATAAAAGTGTTCTAGACCGCCAAGGCAGCTGCTTCACTGACCTTTATTTTTAATAAACAGATTGCCAGCTGTATAATCAGATAAAGAACCAGGCTGCACAGCCCATGAAGTTCCCCTTTTTAGAAAGCCCCAATTAACCTAGATAGCTGACTTTTTATGTCACCCCACTTTTCCCTTCAAGCTGTTAAATTTTTCCTCTTCTCTTTTACAGTCACAAGAAGAGTGAAGCTGGGAAAACTCAGGCAACCCTCCCCACCCTCAACTCCAACAGAGGTGAATCCCAGGTCTGCTCTCTATCTCTTCACCTAAGATGGGATTGATCTTGCCAAGTAGCCCAGCATGCCATGTATTTTCCAGGATTTGAGGTGATAAAGCTTGTGGTCTCAAAGTCCCCTGGTTGTCCTGAGGTTCATTTCATAATCATAGTAAGAACCACAAGGGCCAGTCCCGGGCCTACGGGAGAGCTCCAGGCATTTCTCACCAATGGCATCATTATCCATAGATAGAGAACTGCAGAAAACAAGTTTTAAATACCTAGTCTCATGCCTATAAAAAAAGTTTTTAATCAATAGTAGGTTCCATTGATAGTATTTATTCATTCATTTCTATGTTCATCATATGAATATGTATTTACATTTTCTCTCTCTTTTTTAAGATTTTGTTTATTTTTCTTTAGACAGAAAGGGAATGAGAGAGGAAGAGAGATATCAATGTATGGTTGCCTCTTGTGTAGCCCCTGCTGGGAACTGGCCTGCAGCCCAGGCATGTGCCCTGACTGGGAATTGAACCACCATACTCTGGTTCACAGGCCCGTGCTCAATCCACTGAGCTACACCAGTCAAGGCTCACATTTTTTTAAAAGATTTCTTTCTTTATTTTTAGAGGCAGGGGAAGGGAGGAAGAAAGAGAGAGAAAGAAACATCAGTGTGTGGTTGCCTCTCACACACCCCTAACTGGGGACCTGGCCTGCAACCCAGGCATGTGCCTTGACTGGGACTCAAACCTATGACCCTTTGGTTTACAGGCCAGAGCTCAATCCACTAAGCTGCACCCAGTATTTGCATTTTCTATGTGATTAGTATTGACCTAAGTGAATTGATACTGAGATAAAAAACAAAAAACACTTCTGGTTCTACTTTACTTCAAAAGGTATGCCCTATATCCTCTTCTTGCCCTAACATAATGCTAATACATTTTATTACAAATGCTTGAGTATCTCAGCTCTTCAGTGGCCTATAATGTAAGTACTTGGAAGGCAGGAATGATGGTTGTCTTATTCATACTGAATCCCTATCACCTCTCATATATGCAAATAAATGTTAGTGCCTAGCATAGAGAGAACCCAAGTGAATGTGTTCAATGAATAATAATAAAATAAATAAATGAGGTGCTAAAAGACACTTAGAATTTGTGGGGGGAGGGAAAGAGGGAGGTGATAAGTATTAGAATGTATTAATACCTGAAGTTAAATTAAATACAAATATTCTGGGAATTCTTAAAAGGAAATAAACCTTAACCTGACATGATGAAATGATGAGGCAGGAGGAATCTTATAATATATTGTTTGTGTATGTTATTATACACAACACTCAAACTTAACTTTTTACTCAGTGTAGTTATTCATCTAAGATAAATGTAGGGCAAAACCAAATATTTTTGGATACTATTTTAGAAAGCTATATTGCTTTGAATTTTGAAGTATATCTATCCTTGAATACATGAACACAATCCATAGATTTATTTACTTTTAATTTTTAATCATTGATTTTAATTAATTCTAAGATCCTGATGAGACTTTGCTTTAATAATCACAAAATTAATTCCTATAGTAATTCTAAGTTAGCTAATATTTTTTAATATTTTATGCATTTTTCTCTATTATAAAATAGACTATTTTGTGTAAATGTATTTGAAATAGTTGCAAATTTAAAGGTGTTAGCCAGACTAGCTATCAACAAGAGACGAGTATTTTTCCAGAGTTAGAGAAGCACTAGCTTTTAATCTATTTTTCATTTGATTTGTACACACACAGCTTTTCAGCACCTCAGTTATTCATTAAATACATTGAACAAACATTCTTGGGTCTTCTCTGCATTCTAGGCACCACCTCTAGGTATTATGGGTTATTCATTTTAATTTGATTGTACGTTATCTAACATACATATTTATTCCTTTCTACATGGCACCTATATGTCAATAAAACATATGAAAAACAAAGCATAAGGTAATAGAAATAACTGAAATCACAATGATAATCTTTGGTCCAAGTAATTTTTAAGTATCTTTTGCCAACTATCCAAAGGGCACTTAAGATAATTATGTAAACATGTCAATGAATTGAGAAGAGCAATGTCAAATCACTTTGCTTGTTATTATTAATGAAAATTAACCTACTGAACCTAAGTCTTTACACTCATAAATTTATGTGATGGTAGGTGTTTGGAGTCAGCTAGAATGTTAAAGGTCTTTTAGTTCAAACCTTTCTTCTTGTGTTTGCAAAAAACTTGGCCATTTAATGAAACTTGCCAAAGATCGTTGAAATTAATAATGGCAGGCAATAGAGTTAATATTTTTATATATTCAAAGCACTGGCCTTGGAGAGGGAAACTTGGTTCTAATTCTTCTCTAACTTATTTCCTAAATAAGTTTCTCTGTGTCCTAGTTTTCTCATCTGAAAATTATTAGTACTACATCTATTTCACAGAATAAGATTATATTTATTCATTACTAAGCAGGTAATGGTGACCAGCCAAACAAAATGTGTATGTTTACCTGAAAAAAAGTTACAGAATACAGTTTCTTCCCCTCAATGACCTCTCGTTTGCTCTGCCCACTCCCCTCAAAATCAACAATGACAAAATCTAGGTAAAGTATAAACAACTGTTACATGGCATATAATTCTGCCTGTTTCATACCATGTTTAAGCATACTTTGTAGAACAATTATTAATAGTGTTCATGTACTTTAAGAGCATTTGGGTTGGAATGGTAAATTACATAGTGTCCTACATATATTACTAAGATAATTATGTAGCTATGTGCCTCAACTATACCGATTTAGTCATAGTACGAGTTGTTAGTCCATAAATATAAAAAGAAAATGAAAGTTTTCCTAAATGGACAAGATATTCTGTGTGAGAATCAAAAAGGCCTATCATTTAATTCTTCCTAAATTAATCTCTAATTTAATGAAAGCTCAATAAACCAGGAAATAATGCAGTGATTCAAAAATATATGATCATAATGAATGAGTAGGAACCTTGTGGATGGTGAGGAGTGTCCATTCCAGCATATATTTTGAAAAGATAATTTGCCATATTTACTAATAGATTAATGGTAAGATATAGGAGAGGAAATTAATTTAGAATGACTACTTCCCTTTAGGTCTTAGAAGTTTGGGACTCTAGTACCTTTTATATTGAGAAAGATTTAGTAGAAACAATTTTTCAGATCTAGAAATCTGCATTTGGCCATAAGAAAGTTGAGAAAGTTATTATACATATAAATCCATATGTCTACTAATCAATTGGAAATATAAGTCAGTATCATTATCCAGTAGTAGGCCCAGAATGGATGGACAGTTTGCCTATAACCCCACACCCTCAAAACCTTCAGTCTGTGATTCCTTACCATCTCTTAAAGAAACAAATTGCATCAATATTTTTTGTTTATAATATTTATGTTATTGTAGTACTCTCTTTACTTCATACAATAGTATTTATAGGCATAGCCTGTCTACACAGGCTACAGTATTTCCAAATATTTTGAAAAGTCAAGTTAATGACCTAACTGTAATACAAGAAGATATACAAATATTAATTGTTATTGAATGCATCCATACATAAAAATATAAGAATACATCCTTTGTGGAAATGACTGAACTAGAAGATACATGCATGTGGTTAGCCCTTGGCATTTATACACAGAATTACCATGATTGTAGTACCTATAATAGAGGCTGATGATAATAGTTAGTTAGAAATTCAAGTAGGATGATATGATTTTCTAATGTAGTTAACAAAGCCTAATAAATTTTTGAATAAAACATCCACTTGATTAACATGAAAGTTTCGTTTCTAGTTAATCCAAGGATTATTAATTTTTTTGTGAGAGTATTTTGTGTCAGTACATTAAGTGAAGTTCTTGGCTCGGATATTTATGAAGGGGTTTTATATTTATATTGTATTAATGTATGTGGGAACTTTTTAAATCATGCAAACCTTGTAATACTTTTTTTTATCACTGAACCAGTGTGTGCATTGAAGGATTTACTACATATATCACCTACCACTCACCTCGGAAGTGCCAGCTGTTTCCATCAGTTCTACTGATTAGAGAGACAGCAGAAATTTCCAAATAGTCCCTAAGATGAAAGTATAGCCCTTTGAAAGCCATTAATCTACAATAAATTTCTCCGGTTTACTAAAGCACTCACCACTTCTTACCCTATTATATACCAGGTTGCCAAGCACTTTTTCATCATAACTAATAATATTCATTTAAATGCTGACAGAGTCCAGTACAAATAATGTCCCTGTTTGTTTTTAACAAAACTTTTTATTACAATATTATAAACATGCAACTCTGTAATATAACAATACCACACTCAAGCACAACATATAACGTTTTAGGTGAAATGTTCAAATTAAAACTATAAATTATTATACCCATATTATTACCCCACCACCACACTTGGCAGGCCTTACTTCTGCCAGACACTCTATATGTGTATATGGATACCCAATGCTAAGATAAATTGATATTAAGTTGAAAGCAATTCAGTGACAAGTACATCAATTTTGTAAGAAAAAAAGTCAAGAAAATTAGAGTTATAGTGATCTGCATACAGTGTGGGATGAAATTACGTTTACAGTTGCAAATACATGAAACATATTTTTGTATTATTATTTATTAATTATTATATTATTTTCCATATGGACAATGATAAACCTACTTTTGTACCATCCCGTATAGTATTAAAATTTTTTTAATATCCTTATAATTTAAAAGACAATGAATGTATTATTACCTTCATTATTAATTATCATGTTGAATTATACTTAAATTTGAAACAAGTGAATAATATAATTGAAAGGCTAAAACAAAAATGTATTAGGTAAAAGTCTAAGTTGAAAATATAGTCTCATATTTAAATATTGCAATTTAACTTTTATCATTTGTATTTTTAATAGAAAAATATTCTAGGGATAGAAGAAATTAAACATATTCCTTTATTTATTACCTTAAATTTTAATATTATAATCCATATGCCTTATATGTGGTCAATGCCCATTAATATTGTTTGACTATATAATTATCCAATTTATTTCAAAATTGAGCTATTCTCTGAGAAAGGTCATCTTAAAGGTTCTGAATAAACAGCTTCATGACATTTCAAGTCAAAGAAGATAATTTGAAAAGCAATTCATAAAGGTTAGGCCTATAAAAAGCTATTTAGATAATATCAAGTAAAGTTAAAATCTGGCCCAGGTACACAAAATCATATAACATGCATAAAATTTTTGTTTGATATATAAATTTGAAGTATAAAATCTCATAAAGCCTGAAGCTATAATATAGTCAAACCTTCACTTTATGTGCATAATACATGTATTGGGTCATATCCAAAAGAATAAAAAAAGCTACATGAGATACAATATTTAATACATTAGCTATATTTCAACTTATACTATAATGTAAGCTGAAAATTAATTTCACAAAACTGCTTCTTTTTCTGAGGTTTATTATAATTAATTTTCAGCATGTATATGGATATTATAATATCTACTTTAGAATTGTTTAAATGGATTAAGTAAGTAAAGGCCTCTGTATCATTTTACTATAAAACTTAAGGAAGCAAGGTTATTTAAGTTTTTCATGGCAAAATAAAGAGGAAAATCATACAACAGTACATGAAAATGAATAGAATATAAGGATCTGGACACTAAAAAAAAAAGGTCTCTTAATAGTATTAAGACCATCCAAAACCAAAAATACACCCATCATACACACACAGTCCAGTTTCCTTTTGTTTTTTTCTCAAAGTAAAATGTAACCCATAACTTTTACCAGGAAGGCACAAAAATTTGTGTGGCACATCCAAAATTTAAAATATAAACAAAATAAGAAATTCAGCTTCTTAAAAATGTCACTAACATCATGGCAGAAAGTATAATGATCTGGAAATTCATAATTATTAGAATTGCTGGTTCAGAAATAATTTAAGAAAACTCTGATCAAAGTATATTATATTTCAGTGACAAATTCACATAAAGCTGTATTAATACAAGCCTCCCAAGTCTACAGAAATATATTTTGTAACTAGATTTGAATTTATCATGGAATTTGAGATTTTACACTTCAAAACAGACTTCTTACTTATAAATGAATAGTGTTTGGGTTATATTTAGCTTTACATGGCAAATGCAAAAGTACTAAAATAGCCCACAAAAGAAACATTTAATTTATAAAGAATCCAGAAAGTAAGTCAAAAAATTCATTGCTATAACACAAACTACTTGTATGTTTAGGAAGTAAAAATAATAGTTGTTCTAGTAATTTAAAAAGATGTAGGCTTTCTAAATAAAATGAAATAACCATGAAATATGTTTTATGGAAAATATTAATTTACTGATGGATGGTACATTGCAAAGGAACAGAAGTCAGATCTCATTTCTACATTTTTTAGTTAGAAAATACTCAAATGCTTGATAAATGTGTGAATGAAAGGATATTCTTTTATTTTGATATATCTAGTAGTAGGTAGGAATTAGTGACTTGAGCATAAATCAAAAGCTTCGTAAGTGTATTGGGCAACAAAAACCTCACAGTCTAGTGTTGAGGAATTACAATGCCATACTTACCAAGAACTATCCTATCCTGAGTGAAAAAATGGCTGGGGAACTCTCCCTCAACCCCTTTAAGGTTATCCAAATTCTTCAGAAATATTTTTGAACATTTAAGGCAAATATGCAGTAATAGGACTCAAACCTTTGTAAAATACTTCATTTATATTATGTCCTTTAAGCTACAATAATAAAAGTATACTTCAATAGAAATATGTTTAGGCATTAATTATCAACTGGTAACATTATTATTACTTTTGTCATTGTTACATTGTTATAACATTGTTATTATTGTTGTTAGTATCTTTCATTCAGAAGAATTTAATGTTATTACATTACTCTCATTGTTTTACTTTATGTTATACCTTGTTAGTTTAGTTTTAAAAGTTCTCCATTCCAACCCTCTGGTCCCTTTGCCATTGAATCAGATAGGACACCGTCTTGGTGGTCATAAAAGGAGGGAAAGTAACACTGAAGTTGGCCTCACAGCTCTGTAGCATGTGGGCTAGCTTTAAACAAGGTTAAAAAAAAAGGTCTCCATTCTAAAACCAGGGACATTTTCCAACATTTCTTTTAGTTACATTTTAATCTTGCTTTTAAATTATAAGTCAAATTGTTTCTCTGGTATCAAATGCTACAGCATTCCATATATTTTTATTAAATTACGGACAAAAATCTCATATCAAGATCCCATATGTATATGGGTTTTCTCAAAGCTCTCTGTTAGTTATTCATTTTGACAGTGGCACCATATGAGTTTTATAGTTGGCATACCAGATGGTACATGAATTCCCATCCCATTATCTTTTATTAAAAAGATAACTTAGTTCTTTATAAATTATTATCTTTTTATAGTTTTTAGAACTTGTTGATTCATTTCTAAAATAAAATGCAATATTTTGGGTATAGCATTCAATGTGTGAATTATTGAAAAAATTGATCTCTTGGCCAAATTAAGGCATCATAACTAAATGCATGGATTATATTTTAATATAATCAGAACATCCATTAATTTTCTATTTTTGTTTGATAGGCTAATAAAAATTTTTATAGAGAACCTGAGCATATTTTGCAAGTTAATTATAAGATTTTTCATTTCTTTTGTTATTATAGAAATATAATAATTTCCAGATATTGTGACTGATATAGAGAAACAATTTTATATGAACTACTTGTATGGGCAATCTTTATAAGGCTCTACTTTAAATATTAATTGAGACAATGTCAAGAGCCATAATGAATTGATAATTTTAACTATAAAAATTCCAGGAATTTCTGAATGTCATAAAAAATTACCATAAACAAAGAAATAAACACAAACTCAGGTATAACAGTTATACCACAGAGCAAAGGAATATTATTTTAGTAAACAAAAATATCCTAAAAATCATTGTGAATTAAATAAATATTTATTGACTTCTCCTACATGCATCATTTGTGACTGGTATCCTTCCCATAACAAAATATTTTATAGATTCTTTCATGTTGTGGCATATATTAGTAATTCATTCATTGTCATTGATGAATAATATTCTACTGTGTAAATATAGTAAATCTTATTTATTTATTCATCATCAGTTGACAAACATTTGGGTTATTTTAGTTTTTTGACTACTATAAATAAAACTATAAACATGAATATTTTTGTGTGAACATATATTTTTATTTTTCTTGAGTATATACTAGAAATAGGAGTGGCAGGTTATATGAAAAGTCTATGAGTAAATTTTTGAGTAACAGACACTGTATTTTTAAAATACCTGTATGTACCATTTTACATTCCACCAGTCTGGTATAAGGGTTCCAGTTTCTACAAATTCTCACTAATGGAAATATATATTAACATTTTTTTATCTCTATGTGGATATAAAGTTATATCTAATTGTTTTCATCTGCATTTTTGTTTTTTATTATTAAATGTAATGCTATTTTTTCTGTTTTAATTTAAATATTTTTATCAGGTTGAGAAAGGTCCATTGTATTCTTTATTTGCTGATTATTTTTATCATGAAAGAGTATTGGATTCTTGCCAAATAATTTTTTCCTGCATCTATTGAAATCATTTTGTGTTTTCTTTCTTTTTCCTCACATTCCATTGATGTAGTATATTATGTATATCCATTTTAGGATGTTAAACCAACCTTATATTCCTGTGATATATCCTATATGGTCATGGTATGTAATCCTTTTTATGTGCTGGATTTGTTATGCTATAATTGCATTGAGGGTTATTACGTTCAGACTAGTAAGCTATATTGGTTTGTAGTTTTCTTGTGATGTCTTTGGCTTCATTATTCTTGTAATATTGGCCTCACAGAATAAGTTGAGAAATGTCCTCTCCTCATTTATTTTTGGAAGAGTTTGCATAAATTTCTATTAATTTTGCTATAAATGTTTGTTAGTATTTGGCAGTAATGTCTTTTAGGTATAGACATTTCTTAGTGTAAATATTTATTTATTTGTTTGGTAAGTAGTGATTTAATATATTTAGTTGTAATAGATATATTCAGATTTTCTATTTTTTTTTCAGTTTCTTTAAGTCATTTGTATTTTTCTGGAAATGTACTCATTTCTTCATAGATATTTGGAAACACAGTTGTCTCTGGTGTTTTCTAATACTCTTTTGCTTTCTCCAATTTCTGTAATAATGTCCTTTCTCATTCCTGATTTTAGAAATTTGATTCTTGTCTCTGTTTTTCAAAGTTTTAGTAAGTTCCACTCATTTTGTTATTTTTTTCAAAGGATAGACTTTTGGTTTTACAACATTCTATACTATTTATACTCTAACTAATTTCACACTGCAGTGTATGATTTTCTTCCTTTGGCTGGCTTTAGGTGAAATCTCCAATGGATTGCATGTATTAAGGTGAAAATTTAGGATATCAATTGAGATTTTCCTTGTTTTTTAACACAGGCATTTATAGCTATATATTTTTTTTATTATAAGCACTGTTATAACCTATGTCCCATGAGTTTTGACATATTGTGTCTTTATTTTAATTAACCTCAAATAATTTTGTAATTGTCTTTGCCATTTCTTTTTTATTTATGCACATTGGTTTATGTGAATTGTTAATTTCTACATATTTGTGAATATACCAAATTGCTTTATTGTTTTGGTTTTTAATCAAATTCATTGTGGTCAGAAAACACACTTTTTATTATATTGCAGCTTTTAAAACATACTGACTACATTAAAAAAATGTTGTTGTGCATTTGAGAAAAATGTCAGTCTGATGTTGAATAGAGTGTTCCATAGCTATCTGCTGTAGTATAGAGCTATCTGCTAGTTCTAGGTAGTATATAGCATTGTTCAAAGCTTCTATATATTCATTAATCTTCTGCTGAGGGTTATATCCACTATTGGAAGTAGGGTATTGGGGTCTTGAAGTATTATAATTCAATTGGCTATTTTCCCCTTCAATTCTAACATATTTTTAAATTATTTTATTGTTGTTCAATTACAGTTATCTACATTTCCCCACTCCACTCCCCCCACCCCAGCCTAAACCACCTCCCTTGCTCCCCCCTCTGGTTTTGTCCATGTGTCCTTTATAGTTGTTCCCGAAAACCCTTTCCCCCGTCGTCTCTTCCCACTTCCCCTCTGGTTATTGTTAGATCATTCTTAATTTCAATTACTATGGTTATATTTTACTTGCTTTCTTCTTTTGTTATGTTCCAGTTAAGGTTAGATTATATGGTATTAATTCCTCACCACCAGATTTATTTAGTTTACCATAATGCTCTCCAGTTCCATCCATGCTGTCACAAAGGGTAGAGCTCCTCCTTTCTCTCTGCTGCGTAGTATTCCACTGTGTAAATGAACCAGGGTTTTTTGATCCACTCATTTACTGATGGGCACATAGGTTGCTTCTATCACTTGGCTATTATAAACTGTGTTGCTATGAACATTGGGTGCATAGATTCTTTTGGATTGGTGTTTCAGGTTTTTTAGGATATAATCCCAGCAGTGGAATTGCTGGGTCAAAAGGCAGATCCATTTTCAGTTTTCTGAAGAAATCCATACTGTTTTCCATGGTGGCTATACCAATCTGCATTCCCACGAACAATACACTGGATTTCCCTTTTCTCTGAATCCTCTCCAACACTTGTTTGTTGGTTTGTTTATGATGGTCATTCTGACTGGGTAGAGATGGTATCTCATTGTGTTTTTAATTTGTATCTCTCTAATGGCTAATGATGCTGAGCATCTTTCATGTCTTTGAGCCCTTTGTATGTCCTCCTTAGAGAAGTGTCTGTTCAAGTCCTTTGCCCACTTTTTTAATTGGGCTGTTTATCTTGCTGGTATGGAGTTGTGTGAGTTATAGGGAAACATATTTGCCAGTGACACCTTGAATGAACAATTCTAACATTTTTTGGTTCATCTATTTTGGGTCTCTGGTGTTTGGCATATATGTTTATAATTGCCACATCTTATGATGGATTGTCTCTTTTCTCATTATAAAATGAAGTCTGTTTTGCCTAGTAACCATTTTTTCTTTTAAAATCTATTTCATTTCATATTAATATAGATAATCTGGCTCTCTACAGTTATTTGAAAGATACTTATATCTTTTCTCAATCTTTTACTCTTAACCTAATCGTACATTTAACTGTAGAAGGTGTCTCCTATAGATGGATCATATTTGTCTATATGATACAGGGTGCAGCCGGGGGGGGGCCCAAAAAACAGATTTGGAATGGTGTCCAGAATTCAAAGTGTATAGGAATATTGGAGAGACATATAAGATGTCCTCACCTCGCCCCCCCCCCCAGGGGGAAGAAAGGAATGGAGCCAGGCCATTGAGAGCTGTTTTGCATAGCAACACTTTTGCAGCTAACCTCTGGAATGATTATTTAACATATCTATAACCTTTAACTGGTTTCATAGATATGTTAAATAGCTGTGGCCAAGTTTGGAGCCAGGGAGAGGTAGTGGACTGGGACTCAGGAGGATGTAACTAAGGTCTGCACTCCTGAGTGAGAAGGGCTTGAGGACTCAAGATGAAACTAGGGGCTACGCTTCTGAGTGAGATGGCCTGGATGGGAGCTTGGAAAAGACTGGCTCCAAGACATGAAGGGTCCTCCCTTGGCCAGATGGGAGAGAGAGCCACGCGGTTTCAGCAGAGTGAGGACCCCCTCTTGGTGAGGTGAAAGAGGGAGCCACGTGGTTTTGGCGGGGTGCAGACCCCCTCTTTCCCAGGTGAAAGGGAAGAACCACGCAGCTTTGCCAGAATGGAGATCCCTGCAGCCAGGTGAAGAAGACAGCCACATGCTTTTGGTGGAGTGCGGACTCCTGAAGCTTTGGTAGAAGAGGCCCACGCAGCTTTGGGGTGCCCCTTTTGGCTGCGGGGCCTGAAAAAGCAAGAGAGACTTTGACTGGAACTGGGTACAAAGGACTCTTGCCAGTGGACCATGAGAGGGTACCACAGTACTTTGGATTAACTCGAGATCCTGCACAGTGACACAGCTGACGGTGCCAGCAGCCTGCAATACAGACGTGTGCTCTTTTCCTGATTACAGTACCCGGAGTTGGGACAGTGGGAGAAGGGAGCGCTGTGTGGGTGTAGGTGTATACCCTAAAGGACTTTGATATTTTAGTGGAGGCATTAGGCCTGAATAGCATTAAATAAACATTTTGTTTCCTTTTCACAAATCTCTGGCTTTAAGAGATGTCTTTCCAATTGGCGGCGGACAGAAGGGCCCAGTAGATTTTAGTATTTTGTTTTTGGGAGGGGCCCCTGTTGTATAGCAGTTTTGGGCATCCCTAGGTGGGCCAAATATTGTATTGCCCCTCCCTCGGACCACCTCTTGTTGTTTGGTAACATATACTCAGAAATTATGTGGACTGAAAATCTCTTTTATTGAATATTTAATCTATTTGATTTTTAATGTTATTATTAGTGTAGTTGAGTTTATGTATGTTATTTTCTTTTTTGTTTTCCTTATGACTCATGTCTTTTTCATACCTATAATATTCTAACAATGCATTCTTTTATATTACTTAAATATTTGTAGAGCAAAATTTTAATACCTATAATGTTATTTTTACCAGATTAGGTAAGTTATTTTCTTAATAATTGCTCTGGGGCTTATTATATACATCTTAATATATGAGACTCTACCACTATTTATTTACCACAAATACTAACTTATGTTTAGGATTATATAGAAAAATGATTTCCCAATAAGTCTATGCCTTTTCCAACTATATTTTGCTCATATTATTATACGTGAAAATATACATACTTTATAACTATATAGGTATATGTTTCACATAAAAATCCCAATATACTGAACAAAATGATTATTAAATATTATAAAATAATTCAATTATAGCTTCTCAGTACAATTAACTTTTTTATAAATAAGAGGTAACCTTTGCTGAAATAGTGCATAAATACCTGGATACATTAAGTTCACCATGAACAGCTTTAGGTTGACACCCACTTTCTTGATAGTCAGTTGTATTTTTCTGATTCATTTTTCTAGGCCTTCTATGAATACACAGACAAAAATATTCTTTACTATCTTCCTCAGTCAAACAGCTGCATCCATTTGCACACATCTATAAAAACAAGAAATGAGAATATTTTATATCTCCATCATACACTAAAATGTTAAAATTATTTCAATCTTGAATTCTATGCTTTCTGTTATTTATTAAATTATTGTGTTCCTTTAGCAAAGGTGAAATAAATTCAGTTTTGATTTATGTCAAATTCATAAATCAAATAAAAATAGTCAGTGTCATTCATGGCATTCAAATTATGAAAGAAATATATAAATTGTACAAGGCTAACTAAATAACCATCATACAATTGTTTTTAAAATATTTTTACATTTTTTGTTAATCATGTGTTTATAGGAACTGCTCATATGTTAACTGATATGGTGGAAATAACATATTCAGGCCCAGATCCATGGAAAATCTGTATTCTGTATCACTAAACAGTTTTTACTTCTTCAAAGTTATTTGAATTCACCTGTGAATTGAATATAACATTTTACTGAATCCTATATTAAAAAGTAATTAAATAAAGATTTTAACACATTTATTTTATATTTACATAAAGTCATAATTTTATCTTTTTAAAATAAAAATAATTATCTTTTAAAATATATTATGTTTACTATTCTGCAAGTCTTCCACAGTTATGTCCAATGGATTTACCCACAGAATTAATTATTTGTCAACAGAGAAGTGCACCTCTTGTGGAAAGCTTAAACCCAGGCATATATTTTCCTAGCTCTCAGAAATGAATTCAAAACATCTGTAGAATGTTTAAATAACATAGAATGCTTTGATCTCATTTTTTCTTTCTGATACTTTCACATTTCTGGGGGGGGTGGTTTATTTGTATCCAAAATTTATCATCAGTGACAACAGTGATTAGAAATTTGGTTTCATGTTCTGATCCTCTGATGATAGATGAATGATTTATAGAGATCTAGTTAGCCTCTGTTGGGTAAAAGTTAACTAAGAATTTGTTTTTTTCATTTTTCTGTTTGGTGGTCAAGTCAATTAAGAATTTGAAATCTGTTAGAAATTAGAGCAGTTCTTTCACATGGGCAGATGAGTTCTTTTTTCATATGTTATTTACCCTTAACCCATGGCTAAAATATTATAATTAAATCTATAAGCTTTCTATATGTTTGTCTGTATGTCTATGTGTTTGTAGCTCAGAAAATTCTTTATCCCTCAGTGTTTAAGCATGTTATCATTTTTTTTTATTTGCAGAAGGTATTCATTGTAAAGTTTCTTAAATTAAAAGAGCAATGCTATAATTGGATTACTAAGTAAGCACTTTCACAGGAAGCAACAAATATCTATGTTTTATGATACTGTTTTATTATTCTTTCTCCTTATACATATGTAAATACATATAAAACATATTGTTATATTTGTTTTATGAAATTTGTGAATGTATCACACTTTATCCCCAATTACTTTAGTATGTATTAAAAAAAAAAACAGAATACTCCACTTCCATGAAATTATCAAATTTAGGAAATTAATTTTGATCCAGTACTATATTTCATAACCTATACACTTTAACAAAATGTTCCAATTATTCACAAATGCTATATTAAAAAATCCAATATATACATTCTGCAACTTCAACATGACTAGAGAATACAAAATACCAAAACTGCAAATTAATCATGAGATGATATGTAGAAACCTGGATTATTAGCAAAGTATTAGAATAAAATTGCACCAGCCAAACCAAGCTAAAAAGTCAGGAAGGACTATTCAAGGTTATTGTAATAGAGATGAAACCAGTACTGCTGAAACAAAGACAGGAGGGTTTTTAAGGGCTGTCACGAGCTGGTAAAAAAGTTCTGTACAAAGTTGTGGGAGAGATTGATCAATAAGAGGTATAAGGTGCATTGAATTATTCCTGAGTTTGCAAAGGTTGTGCTCTGAGTACAGGCCTCCTGTGTTTGCTAATTGGCACCCCTGTCATGTGGACTAAGAGCCAGGGGTGCTCTCTCTTTCAGTATTTACATTTCAAAGAGCTGGTTCACAGGTCCCTGAGTTTAAACCTGCCAAGAATCTCAGAGAAGATTTCCATACATTTCAAAAAGGCAGAGAAAGATTTTACAATTGAATGTTTTCTGTAGTAAATTCTCTAACCAAAAGGAGGTTGAGTTTTAGAGTGGAACAGAAATTTACCTAAAGGTTAGTCATGGCAAAGGAAACATCAAGAATATCTCTTTCACATTCTTAGCTAAATAAAAATAGTTATGTACCACTCAGTGGCAGAAATATGTTCTGAGAAATGCATCACTGGGCTATTTCCTAGCTGTGAAAACATCAGAGAGGGCCATTATACAAACCTAGATGACATAGTTTACTACTAACCTAGGCTATAGGAGAAGAAAATTAATTTTTTCTGTACCCTTTTTGGTTCTTGGCTGAGACATCCCTGACATAAAAGACAATTAACAGGAGAAAATCTAACAGAAGTTTAGTAACATATATACATTCTATATACATGGGAGAAAACCAGGAAAACTGTGTAACTCACCAACACGGCTAGACCCACCACCTTAAATGTCATTTTTAGCTGGAAGACAAAAGAAGATATTGGGATGGGTGGAGTCAATTAGAAGGTTGACAGGAAAAGTACAATAAAAACAAGGGAAGGTTGTTATGCAGATTTATGTCTTCTTCCTTTGCATCCATAAGAGTTTCTAGATAAGAGGTCAACCCTTCTTCCTCAGGCCTCCAGGGAGAAACAAATGGAGATTTCCCTTACAAATGTAAATGTCTTTTTACAAAGGGTCACTGCCACTTTATTTTCAGGGCTTCTCCCATGTCTGCTATTTCCTTCAATTAACAAGTCTAAAACAATCCCTATGACAAAGAGACATATTTAAGGATGACAAATTCTCTCTTCCTACAGCTCCTAAGTTACAAATATGTACAGCAGATGACTGTACTAAATGCTTTAGGTAATTGTAATGCAAGAGAAGTGTGTGTATGTGTTTCACTAAGACTACAATGGCTAAGGCCACTAGGCGATAGAAACTTTTCAGCTCCATTATACCTTTATGGGGCCGCCATCCATCATCATGGGGGTCATGATGTAACATACCCCAATGCGAGCAAATGTCGGAAGCCTTCAGGAGTTTAAGATGGAACTTTATTGGCCAGAGTTTCAAAGTTTTACCTGCGCAGGGGCGAACTCTCGGGGTGCCTCCGGAGACACACGAATGCCAAAATGGCTGCAAATGAGAGTCGCCCCGAACGCTTACAGACTAGGGTTCTTATAGAAGCGAGCAAGCAAGGGATTTCCAGAAGCGAGAGGTGGCCGTTAGCCGCTGGTCAGGGGCTCAAGCTAGGGCCCGTGATCTTGCTGATGATTGGCCTGCAAGGTGCATGAACAGCTCGTGCTCAGGTTAGCCATTGGCCTAGGGGCTCATGCTCTACCGACTGAGCTAGCCGGGCTCACGCTAGGGGGTTAAAAACTTCCAGGAGGCTATCCGCTTGACTAGTTCTTATTACTTCATTGTTCTTTTCTTAACTTCTTAACTTCCTGGAGTATCTGCCCGAGGTGGGGTGTGCGGTTTCCCCCACCCAAGCTTGAGCAAGCAGCTAAGGTTGAACAAACAACTTAGTTTTCTTAAGACTATTTCCCATAGCCCCTAACAATGACTGATTGTATGTTGAGATGAATTAAAGTTCAAATTTACATTTGAACTTTATATTTACAAAAATAGGTAAAATTTGGTAGAGGTCTTTCCCATTCCAACTTCTAGTGTCCCTTTGTCTCTTCCGTGTTATTTCAAAAACATCCTCCATTCCTAATAACTGAAGACCGGGCACTTTTAACCCAAAATGACAAGAGAAAAATTCTGAATTATCCTAAACTAAATTATAGTGGTCCAGAGAATAAGGGAGAGACAAAAAGTAATTAACCAGTTAACATCAACGAACAACTGTGAAAGATAGCTCACATTCCTGAAAGTATGTTGGAGCTCAATCAACTTACAAGCAGCTATCTGACAAGAAGCAGCCAACCACCAAACAGAGATGCACCCTGCTTATTCGTGAACTTTCCAAACTGCTCCCCACAACCAATCAAAAGTAGAAAATATTTCTTCTGTGTACTTCCTTGGACTGTGTACCTAAAACCACCTGCGCTTTATATTTTCCTATTCCCTTATCTATAACCAATGCAAGTTCTTTCAAAACAACTTACATCTTTCTTCCTCAAAACATAACATATAAGAGAACTGTCAACTCCAGGTCACTGGATATGTTGACTTCCCCATTAACCCCATTGCTGGGGTTCAAACTGTATGCCCCAGCACCTGGTCTCTTTACTCGCTGCCATATGGCTCAATACACACATTCTTTTACAAAAGCTTTCAAGAATAAATTTTTTAATTTGTTTTGTTTAAGAAGAGAAATGAAAGTATACTTTTGAATGTTCAGTCTTTGATGATGAAAACTGAAATAAACCCAACTTCCTTTCTTATATTAAAAAAATACTGAGAAACAGCAAAAACATAACTTACTCTTTGCTTCATGAAATCCTTGCTCCTAAAAGTAAACTGAGAACTAACTAAAATAAATTATTTACCAAGCCTAGCAATTTACTCATCAAACTCACTTGAAGATTATCATCACATTGTGTCCACTAGAGCGAAACTTTATAAATTCTTATCAGTCCTTAGCAGTAATCTCCACCTCCTGCCAACCAAGGTTTTAATTATCTTCCCATAACTCCTCCCTTCTGAGACATTAGTAAGATTCTGTGAAGATGTTGTTTTCCTTTATTGCATTAATCCATGAGGATTATTTTCTTGATCAATGGAATGTCTAGTAGTTTTTGGAGGGTCAACCATAACCCAGCACGCATTTATGTAAAGATCTAGTTAAGGCGCCCTTACTACCAAACCTGAGGACCTCAGACTGCAAACAATGCCCCACTGTGAGACCATTAAATATGCTTCTTTCCAACTATGACCATGATATATGAATAGTATCAGGTCTGAACTCCAGTGTCTTTTCATCAAATCCCTAGTTACTAAGTTTAGTTGGTTTTCTTAAGAATAAGAAAATAATTTAAGAAGTATTTGATTATGTGAGCTAGTTGAATCTACAGAGACAAGAAATTTCTGTCAACTTCACTTCTTCTGGTGATCATATAAGAGGCGATCTGCTAGGATAGGGCAAGCACAGGTCTTGAAACTCCATCATCCGGTTGACCTCGGTAAACAGTGAGTTCACACAGTGACATCAGCCTGCATTTCTTGGAAAAATTTTTTCTTGAGTCATCTTTTCGAAATCTAGTGCACACTTTTGCCAGGCCCCTAGTTGATATTGACTGCTCTTTGAAACAAGACATGGCATTACACAAGCACCTGTAGAAGTTTTCACGCAGTCCTCTCAGCCTCACAGGCTTTGACACCACTCATTCCTTCCTTCATGTTGTAAGTCATGTACACATTTCTGTAATTGCTGATTTCTCAAAGGACAATATAAAATTGTAGTGACTACTCTGGGGAAGTTTTAACAAGAGACAGGGTTGTTCATTTAACAGATGTATTAAGACAGAAAAAGAAAAACTCTCACGAGGACAGTTTGTCTGTGTGTCTAATAGTGTTTAATGTATAAGAATCTCTCATTTTCATACTTCTAGGGTTAATAAGCACTAGATTTGTAGTTATGTAGCTCTACTTAATTGTCAATTTGTGAATTACTATTTCCCTTCCCCATGTTAATGTTACCGAACAAGAGGTCCGAGGGAGGGGCAATACAATATTTGGCCCACCCAGGTACGCCAAAAACTGCTATACAACAGGGGCCCCTCCTAAGGACAAAATACTAATATCTACTGGGCTCTTCTGTCCGCCGCCAATTGGAAAGACATCTCTCAATGCCAGAGATTTGTGAAAAGGAAACAAAATGTTTATTTAATGCTATTCAGGCCTAATGCCTCCACTAAAATATCAAAGTCCTTTAGGGTATACACCTACACCCACACAGCTCCCTTCTCCCACTGTCCCAACTCTGGGTACCATAAATCAGGAAAAGAGCACACGTGTGTATTTCAGGCCGCTTGCACCATCAGCTATGTCAGGCAGGATCTCGAGTTAATCCAAAGTACTGTGGTACCCTCTCATGGTCCACTGGCAAGAGTTCTTTGTACCCAGTTCTAGCCAAAGTCTCTCCTGCTTTCCAGGACATGTGGCCAAAGGGGGCACCCCAAAGCCACATGGGCCTCTTCTACCAAAGCTGTAGGGGACCGCACTCCACCAAAAGCATGTGGCTGTCTTCTTCACCTGGCTGCAGGGATCTCCATTCTGGCAAAGCTGCATGGTTTTTCCCTTTCACCTGGGCAGTTATCCCCTCATGTCCCAGAGCCCATCTTTTCCAAGCTCTCTCGCAGGCCTTCTCACTCAGGGTGCAGCCCCTAGTTACATCCTGAGTCCCAGCTACTCCTTTCTCCCTGGCTCAAAATTTGGCCACAGCTATTTAACATATCTATGAAACCAGTTAAAGGTTATAGATATGTTAAATAATCATTCCAGAGGTTAGCTGCAAAACTATTGCTATGCAAAAGAGCTCTCAATGGCCCTGCTCTATTGGTCTCTTCCCCCTGGGGGGTGGTATGAGAACATCTTATATGTCTCTCCAATATTCCTGTACACTTTGAATTCTGGACACCATTCCAAATCTTTTTTTGGGCCCCCCCCCTTGGCTGCACCCTGTATCATTAATAACGTATTCTTTCTGGGCAGGTGGGTGTGTTTGTAAAACTAATATTTTCTGCAGTTAAGACTTTATACTTTGCAGTGAGGATGATACAGGGTGCAGCCGGGGGACCCCAAAAAAGATTAGGGTTGGGGGCCAGAGTTCAGGGTATCCAGGAAATATTAAGATGTCCTCAGCCCCGACCCCCACCCCCAGGGGGAAGAGACAAATAGAGCCAGGGCCATTGAGAGCTGTTTTGCATAGCAACAGTTTTGCAGCTAACCTCTGGGATGATTATTTAACATATCTATAACCTTTAACTGGTTTCATAGATATGGTAAATAGCTGTGGCCAAATTTTGAGCCAGGGAAAAGGGAGTGGCTTCAACCCAGGATGTAACTAGGGGCTGCACTCCTGAGTGGGAGTGCCTGTGTGGGAGCTTGGAAAAGATTGGCTCCGGGACATGAGGGGAGAACTGCCCAGGTGAAAGGGAGAGAGCCACGCAGTTTCAGCAGAGTGAGGACCCTCTCTTGGTGAGGTGAAAGAGGGAGCCACGTGGTTTTGGCAGGGTGCGGACCCCCTCTTTCCCAGGTAAAAGGGAAGAACCATGCAGCTTTGCCAGAATGGAGGTCCCTGCAGCCAGGTGAAGAAGAAAGCCACATGCTTTTGGTGGAGTGTGGGCTCCTGCAGCTTTGGTAGAAGAGGCCCACGCGGCTTTGGGGTGCCCCCTTTGGCCGCAGGGCCTGGAAAGCAGGAGAGACTTTGGCTAGAACTTGGTAGAAAGAACTCTTGCCAGGGGACCGTGAGAAGGTGCCACATGATTGGATTAACGAGGGATCCTGCCTACATGGTGATACTGATACAGGGTGCAGACAGGGGGCCCCCCAAAAAAGATTTAGAAAGGTGTCCAGAATTCAAAGTGTATAGAAATATTGGAGAGACATATAAGATGTCCTCACCGCCCCCCCCCCCCCAGGGGGAAGGGATGAATGGAGCCAGGCCATTGAGAGCTATCTTGCATAGCAACAGTTTTTGGAGCTAACCTCTGGAGGAATGGTTATTTAACATATCTATAACCTTTAACTGGTTTCATAGATATGTTAAATAGCAGTGGCCAAGTTTGGGGCCAGGAAGAAGGGAGAATGGAGTAGCAGGGACTGAGGAGGGAACTAGGGGGACTCAGGATGGAACTAGCAGGGACTCAGGATGGAGACTAGGAGCTGCACTCCTGAGGGAGAAGGTCTTGGACTCAGAATGTAACTAGGGGCTGCGCTCCTGAGTGAGAAGGGTTTGGACTCAGGAGGATGTAACTAGGGGCTGCTCTCCTGAGTGAGAAGGGCTTGGACTCAAGATGGAACTAGCAGGGACTGAGGATGGAACTAGGAGGACTCAAGATGGGAACTAGGGGCTGCGCTCCTGAGCGAGATGGCCTGGGTGGGAGCTTGGAAAAGACTGGCTCCGAGACAGGAAGGGTCCCCGCTTGGCCAGATGAGAGAGAGCCACGCGGTTTCAGCAGAGTGAGGACCCCCCTGTTGGTGAGGTGAAAGAGGGAGCCACGTGGTTTTGGCAGGGTGTGGACCCCCTCTTTCCCAGGTGAAAGGGAAAAACCACGCAGCTTTGCCAGAATGGAGATCCCTGCAGCCAGGTGAAGAAGACAGCCACATGCTTTTGGTGGAGTGCGGGCTCCTGCAGCTTTGGTAGAAGAGGCCCACGCAGCTTTGGGGTGCCCCCTTTGGCTGCAGGGCCTGAAAAAGCAAGAGAGACTTTGACTGGAACTGGGTACAAAGGACTCTTGCCAGTGGACCATGAGAGGGTACCACAGTACTTTGGATTAACTCGAGATCCTGCACAGTGACACAGCTGACGGTGCCAGCGGCCTGCAACACAGACATGTGCTCTTTTCCTGATTTACGGTACCCAGAGTTGGGACAGTGGGAGAAGGGAGCGCTGTGTGGGTGTAGGTGTATACCCTAAAGGACTTTGATATTTTAGTGGAGGCATTAGGCCTGAATAGCACTAAATAAACATTTTGTTTCCTTTTCACAAATCTCTGGCATTGAGAGATGTCTTTCCAATTGGCGGCAGACAGAAGAGCCCAGCAGATTTTAGTATTCTGTCCTTGGGAGGGGCCTCTGTTGTTCTGTAGCAGTTTTTGGCGTCCCTTGGTAGGCCAAATATTGGCCCCTCCTTGGGCCTCTTCTTCTGTAACAAGGAAATAATTAACTTTCAACTTTCATGATTTCACATCTGCTTAGAACTAAGTCCCTCTCATTTCTTCATTTTTTTCAATATTTTTTTGTTTGGGAAAGTATAAAAATTATGATATTTTCTCTATCATTAGATGCATAATGTAGGACCACTGTTTGGGAAGCCAAAATACAAGAAAAAGGAAAATGATTGTGCTTTATTTCTGTTTGTATTTTTCTAAAAACTTAGCAAAGCAGAAAATGTGAATGGGTAAAGTAATTAGTCTTCTAGCTAAAAAGAAAATTAAGTCTCTAGATTTTTGGCATACACTTAAAAGTCTTGATTTTTTAAAAAAAATATTTGAACATAAGCATTCACTTATATTAAAAAGAGCTTATGTAATTTCCCAATTTAAAAAAGTATTCTTTATGCAAATAAGAATTATTAAATTTAACCTTGAAAGAACTATTCTATATAGTTATTCTATTATAACTATTCTATTATAGGTTAATGATTTTAAAAATATGAAGTAAAATAATTGACATTTTCATAATTGACATAATTTAAAAGGTTTTAATCTTGTGAATTTATTGATTCAATTACACTGATGAACTAGGATGTTTTATTGATGATACTGTTACAGAACAGGGCCAAGAATGGGTATGATATACTATTACTGAAAGGACCCCCCACACACTAGATTAGCTATGTCTGCCACCACAGGAAAGATATCTCTCAATGCCAGAGATTTGTGAAAAGGAAAGGAAATATTTATTTAAAGCTATTCAGACTTAAAGTAGTGACCTAATGTCTTCATTAAAATATTAAAGTCCTTTAGGATACCCACAGATGCACACAGTCCCTCCTTCTCCCTCTGCCCTAGTCTGGGGTACCGTATCTCAGGAAAAGAAGTAGAAGTCCCTGATTCGGACTCCGGGCACCATCAGCTGTGTCACTGCCAGGATATCCAGTTAATCCAAAGTCCTGGCACCTTCTCATGGCCCACCAGCAAGAGTCCTTTCACCTTTTTTCTTCCAGGCAAAGTCTCCCCTGCTTCCTAAGCCACATGGCAAAAGGGAGCACCCCAAAGCCACATGGTCCTCACTCTTACCAAAGCTGCCAGGGTCCCCACTCTGCCAAAACCATGTGGTTATCTCTCTCATGGCTGATGAGTCTGGGTTTAAATCCCTGTGCCAACCTTCCTTTGTACCCCAATTTCCAACTCCTCCTACAATCAGTTGCACCTGCCAGCATTCCTGTATTATTCCAAGTTTACTGGGCTGCCATCGTGCGTCTGGGCAGGTGCAGCCCCATGTCATGGAGCTAATCTCAAAGCTCTCATGCAGGTGCTGTAACCAGGGGGAGCTGCCCCCCAGTTACATCTTGGGTGGAAGTCACTTCCATCCCCCTGGCTCAAAGCATGACCACAGCTATTTAACATATCTGTGAAACCAGTTAAAGGTTACGGATATGTTAATTGACTGTGCCAGAGGTTAGCTGCAAGGCTGTGGCTGTACAAAACATCTCTGCATGTTCCTGCTCCATGTATTCCTTTCCCCAACTCACACCTCTGTGGGGGAGGAGTGAGGGCATCCTATATATCTTTCTAATATTTCCTGGACACCTTGAGTTCTGGACGCCATTCCAAATTCCTATTTGGGGCCCCCTCTTGGCTCTAACCTATTACAATACTACACATTGTAAGGACTTAACACGATGCTGTAAATTTTAATTTCCAAATCTTTGGTTAATATTAAGACCTACCTAACACTGATATTAAAATGAATTAGTAAATTATCTTTTAACAACTAAACAATTTTTAAGAAACATATACAAATATTAGTATATAACTATAGTTTAAAATTACCTCTTTCTTACATTAAAAAGTTAAGGCATGCAAATAGAATTAATTGATGGGTAGTAGTAGACAATAGTACATTTAGAGTTGTATGTGAAACAAAATCCATTTTTAAATAAAATATAAAACATATTTTTATTTAATAATTATTATATTATTTTCCATACAAACAATATAAACCTACTTTGGCCCACACCTGTATATTTATGTTTGTATTGATACATGCATATTTATGGTTATTTTGCTTAAAATAAGAGATGTAAAAGTTATATAAAATGGGGGATTATGAAAATATAAAATAGCTAAAACACTATTAGATTTCTGCCTTTGTGTTTTCTCAAGTGTAAAAAAATCAAAGCTATTTTCTTTAAGGTTGGTAATTATTTTCAAATAAGACAAAGGTATATTGATATATATACAAGATAAAATTTGCTCACTTGTGCTGTATGAGAAAATATACAGTTACTTAACTGGTAATTTTAATATAATATATAATGTTCTTTAATATGTTGATAAAGTTAAGTATATTCTAAAGGTCAAATCTTTAGTCATCTATGTGCATAGTGTTTTATGTTTCATTGGCTAAATGCATATATGTCAAAGTATATTAAACTTCATATATATGTTTATAAATTTTAAAAAGTAGTAAAAGATGTATTTGAGGGCATATGTGAAATTAAAAATTGTGAGGAATTTGAAATCTGCCTATATTTGTAATTCCTCTCAAGTTGGTTCATTTTAAAACAAACAGTATTTTTAAAATAAAACTGGCTTAATGTTAATGAATTTATTTATAATGAATCTTTATTCATAAAGACTCATAATGCATCCTTATTAAAATTTTCACATGAATGACATGGCAAACATAAAATTAAAATATGCTTTGGTTTCTATAAATTAACCAAATGAGTTTGTGTTCAGAGAAGAGAAATTACAAATATTCTGCTAACACTCTAAACTGTTTGAGAAAATCTTGAATAATTTTGACAAACTATTCATTATTTATTTAAAATAAATATCCTAAAGTTTTTGTTTCTTATATTTATTTGTTTAAATTATTGCCCTAATGTGTACAAGATGAAGGTTAGATGGGGAAAAAAAAAGACAACTCTGTATTCTTGCACTAGGCCTGATGACTGTTAGTGGTAAAATTGCACAGTATTAGAAATCTTCCAGAGATTTAAATATATCCAAAAAGACAATGGCAGTTTTTACGACCTGTAAACAAAAAGATGGCATAATTACAACTATGTCTGAGAGGCTTTATTTAGTCAGCAAATTATAACATGAATAGGACCCAAAAAGACTAGAAATAAGATAATTGTTAATACTCTTCATTACCTTTCTAAATTACAAATCTAACAAGTAAAAAAGGTTTCCAAGCAGTTTGTTGAAAATTTGTTTATGAAGTTCTATTTAAACTATGTATATGTTGAACCTTGAATTTGTAAACTTAACATTTCTAACATTTTTTTCAAATTAGACAATTAGGAGTTAAATAGGAATATGAAAAACTAGAACATATATTTACCTACCTCCTTTGGCTCTTCACATTGAAACAAATGTAGGTAACCAAGGTCTTCAGATTTGTTCATGTAGACTGCATCATCAGTACAATTTTCAGCATGAAAGGAGTAAGCATCAATAGTCACTTCATATTTTTCACCTTCGAATACTTTCAAAGAGATTAAAAATAACTTCTCGCAAGATTGAACTCATATAGAATTACTAAAGACAGTTGTCAAATTACCTGATAAGATTATTTTGACAGCACCTATCACAAAATTAGGTTCTACATCTACAGCTACTAAATATGAAAGAGACATAAAATAGAATCATGCCCAGTCCTTTCATTGTAAAAATAGCCTGAGAAATAAAGCATCAGAACAAGACCAAGCATCCAGACCAATCCATTTTTTAAAAAAATAATGAAATGTCAAATAAATTTTCAATTAATAATTAAAATAATGTAATAACCATAAACAATATATTTTATAAAAATACCCTTTTGTATATTATACTTGTATAGGTAGGGACCACTTCAAAATAAATATAAAAATTCTTTAAAATATTTGCAATAGAAAGATAATCAGGCCTAACTGGTTTGGGCCTCAGTTGGTTAGATCACTGTCCTGATATGCCAAGGCTGCAGGTTTGATTCCCAGGCAGGGCACATATAAGAAGCAACCAATGAATGCGTAAATAAGTGGAACAACAAAAATCTCTCTCTCTTTCTCTCTCTTTAAAAATCAATATTTTTTAAATGTTAAAAACAAAAAGAAATAAAAACAATCAGGACCTCATCCTCATTTTCTCACAGGAAGAAATAAAGGAAGGGAATATGTGTTTGTGAGTATGTGCAGGTATAGACACAGATATGCATATGCATATATATATAATATATAATTTACCTACTTCACACTATAATATTAGATATATTTGTGATACAATAAAAATAATAATGCGAAAAAGCAGAAGAATATGACCTATATTCAAGAGGAAATTTGGTAGACATACAGATGATCTTAACTTAGAATTATTTCATTTCATGAAAACTATATCTATGATAAATGTGTTGAAATATCTATAGAGAAATATGAATATAATTGTTAGACAGAAAATAAATTAGAGAGTGAAAACCTTGGAAATGTAAAAACACAAAATCAAATGGAAATCCCAGAATTCTGGGTATAGTGAGCTAATTAAGCTGAACTGAGGACCTATTATCTTTCATTAATGGATGTAATATTACAGGTGATTAAAGAGCATAGGAGACCTGATAACTAAACACAAATAAACATCCTAGAAAAATGATATTTTGTAGGGAGATATTATTCATCCTCAGAATCCTATAGTTAATACCTCTATTTTAGAATAGTTTATGATTAACAAACCTAAAATCTATGGTTCGTGAAGCATGACTTCCTGAGAATACCATATGAGCTATGCAACTTACAACTGAATTGTAAAGTAGAGATGGTTTTAAGCTGAACTCTCCCTGCTGTGCTCAGACCTTGTTTAGAAATCTCACATATCACTCTGAAAATAAAGGAAGAAGCTAGGAAGCCATACATAATGTTCCAAACCTTTTCAACCTGACCAATGTAATCCATCTCCTTAAAATCTTAAAAGTATAGAAAATTATTACTATATTGGTAAGAAACTAATCAGTGTATGAAACTATTATAAATGAGAACAAAGGAAATAAATTATCATTAAATTTAATATTGATAAAAATTACATCTTCAATGCGATCAGAGAAAATAATTTAAATATAGTATACCAGTTTTATATAATTGATTGATGAATGTTTCTCTGTTTTCTGGAGGAATTCAAGTTGTATTATATTTAATTCTTTGTTGAATATCTGGAAGAACTTGGATAGAAAACTATATATTTTCAGTGTTTTTTCTTCCTTGAAAGATTATTAAAAGTATATTATTCAGTGATTTTAGAGCTTATAGGATGATTCAAATTTTATATTCATCATTGAATCAGTTTGCCAAATATAATTTTCTAAGAATTTATTTATTTTATTAAATTTGACCTATTTATGACTTTGTTCATAATAATGTATGTGATTAAACATTTGACTTTAACTGACATATTATTGACCCTTCCTCCCAGAGCCTCAAAAAGAGGTATTAAAAATTCTTTAACCCATAGAGATTATGCAAGGGAAGATAATAATGAAAACATATTTTTAATACTTTTAAAAGCTGAAAAGCAGTGGTTATTTTAATTACAATTACTGTGGTAATCATTTTATATACTAACTAATCATTTGACATACTAATCATTTCTATATTTACTTATATATAATCATATTATTGCATATCTGAGGCTCCCATAGTGTTATATATCAATAACCCACCTGAATTTAAAAATTAAATGTAATCCCTGAACATCCCAACAGAGTGATATTTTAGAACACTAGGGCAAAAAACATAGAAAGAGCCTTTCAGAGAGATAATCACAAGTTGAGTATAAATAATTAAAAGGCAGCTTATTGCATGTGATTCTACATTATTTCATGCCTTCCCTTACTTTTCCCTTTATCATATGCATGATGTCATACATATGATAAAGGGAATGATAAAGGGATTCTATGGTATCATAGGCATAATACCATACATATGTAACCATATGTGGTATAACATATACATATACATATATGTACACAATTTTCCACACATATACTCACCACACATATACCACACATGGTATCACACATGATGGATGATGTGATATATGATATATGGCATGCATGGCACATGACATATGGCTACGGAATACTGACACTATTGATAGGGCATTGATTGCCCTATCAATAGTGTCAGTATTCCACAATCATTTGTACATCTGAGTTTATTCTTTTGTTCAAATAACCAAAGATACCATGTGTAATGTTGTATGTATATTACTCAGCATGCAGATGGTAAGCACGTGTGATGGAAAATCTAGGTCAAACAGTATATACATTTGTAATATTGCCCTGCTCAGATATTAGAGGGAGGTTACATTGTGCCTTCAATGGATAAAATCATCAAGTTTTCAAACTCTCAATTTTTTGCCAGACTCATAAAAGATGATATATTTATGATTTAAATTTTTTTCTTTACTCTCATGATGAGTAAAGCTGAGCATTTTCTCATATATCTAGAAATACCTTCCGTTCACTCTGTAGTTTTCTTTTGCTGTTTGATGGCTTCTGTGACATCTTTTACTAGCAGACATTTTTGTGTCTCTTGCAGTTAAATGACAAATCTTTTCTTTCTGATATCTAATTTTTTATTAAAAGTTATAAAGGTCTTCTCAATTCAAATTTATATAGCAATTCTATAACATTTTTCTGATAATTTTTAATCTTTAAAACTTTTGTATATTTGAGACTTTTATTTAATATGAATTTAACTTAGAGTATGTTGTAAGATACAAATCTGACTTTACAGATGATTATTGACATCAAGTATTGAATAGTTCCTATTTTCTCTAATGATTGAGATGGCAATTCTGTCACCTGAATACTTTCTTCATGATTTAGATTTGGTTTTGAACTTTGCATTTTGCATATTTTGGATTATGATTGCAAGTACCAGGTTTTTCATTATTGAAGCTATATAATATACTTTAGTATCTATTAAAGCTAAACTCTATCTCATGTACCCACACAGTGCACTTTTTGAATATACCTTGTGTTATTTTATTTAATTTTCTATGTAGACAATAAAAACAAGCATAAAGGCACTCCTGTTATTTTATTAAAATCTTTTTTTTAAGTGTTGTATTCTTTTTTTTCAAGATTTTATTTTATTTTTATTTTTTAGAGAGGGGAAGGGAGGAAGAGAGAGTGAGAAATATCAATGTGTGGTTGCCTCTCACATGGCCCCCACTAGGGACCTGGCCTGCAGCCCTGGCATGTGCTCTGACTGGGAATCGAACCAGCAACCCTTTGGTTTGCAGCCCGCACTCAATCCACTGAGCTATGCCAGCCAGGACCCAGTATTTTATTAAAATCTTAATAAATATATGTAATAATATGGAGATGGTAAATTTTTAATACATCTTTTCTCAGACAGCATGGTTTATCTTAAGAATTTTTTCAGATTTTTTGTATTTGTAACTATACAGTGGCAATGAAGTTTTCCCAATTTAGAACTTATATGTGTTTGTTCATTTGAGTCCCAAGCATTATAATATTGTAACTGAACTGCTATTTTTATGATTTTTTTTTGTTTCCATTATGTCATTTAATTTGTTCTTATCTATATATAAAAGCAATTCATTTCCATTTAGTATATCAACAAAATTTTGTTACTGGAAAAATATTTGAAAACATTATTATGTGTAGAGTGTAAAAAACTAATATACACTTTAAAACTTTTCTTCTAAACTCAATGTTTTTTAACCTTGAAGTTAGGCCCTTATGTTCTAAAGAGATAGAAAAATAATAGATGGTATTAACAAAAGAAGACTTCAAAGTGCAGCAGTATTGTAAGAAAAATACTTTTGTTTAATAAACAAAATAAACTAGGGAGCAAAACAGAACCAGAGGCATGGCAACAAGAAACAGACTGACTGTGGCCAGAGGAGGTGGGAGTAGGGATGAAGAGGGTAGAAAGAAGGGGAAGGGACTAATCAAAGAACAGGTATGGGTGACCCATGGACATAGACAACAGTGCAGGGATTGACGGTGGAAGCCGGAGTTGGGATGGGCAGAGGAGGGCAAAGAGGAAAAAATTGGGACATCTGTAATAGAATAGCAATAAAATATTTTTTAAAAAAACAAAAATACTTTTAATAAAAGTATTGATTTGGGGGTGTGGGAGTTTCTACTCTCACAATTATTATAACATTTCAAAGGTAATTTATAATGAATAAATTGTAATTAATACCTTATACTATCTTCTAGCAAAAGTATTACCCACCATTTTATTTTTAAAAAGAAAATTTAAATGATATTGGTTTACAACATAATTCATAAATGTAGCAATCACTATTCATTTAGAAAAGAAGTTCACCGGCACATATGAAATGTTTAAATGTGTATGTTTAATTTAGTCAAGAAAACTGTAATAATCATAAGCTTTAAACAAAAAAAAGGTGTTAAAAGAGAACTTAACTCTTTTTTTGCTATGATTTTGTCTTTTCTTAACTATAATTCATATTCTTATTTCATTTCACAACTCATTATCCAGTCTATCAGGATCTTCCTTTTTCAAACCTAATAGTACATATAATGAACATAGATGATGACATTGAAAAGAAACAGTGCATGTCAGCTCTTTCTCAAGTTCTGCACTCTAGACCAACTGTCCTTGAAGGGGCTGCTTCTAATTAATTACCATCCCTTTTTGTAGAGCAATCATATTGGCAAGAATTGATTGGGCGTGTGAGTCACTCATTTAGTTGGTAGAAAATTATCTTAATTAAAATTATTTTACTGCTGATAAAATTAATGCACCACATGCAAACTTACCAGCTTGATTTTAATGTTTCTCTTCAATGATATTTTATGAAAAAAATGAAAATAAGATCTCAACAGAAACAACCAGAAAAATGAGAATTACATAAAGTGTGTCATTCTATTTACATATTCCTTTCCTTTTTCACTTATCCTAAAATCTGTTTGTTTTTTTTTTAAATTTAACACTACTGAAAGTGTTTACAGTGCTGAGTCTTTGTATTAACATTAAAAAACCATGTGGATGGCTCTACTCAAACATTTGTTGACTATTGAGCTGTATTACACTGACTTCTTTTGCTTGGACAGCCAAATCCTTTAGAATCTCAGATATGAAGGTCACATAATTCTTATTTTTGTAATAATTAGCTATGTTTATTAAGGTCTGACCATAGACTCATGAACTTATGTTGACTAAATATGGTTATATTACTTTGATGATACTTGCTCTAAGCTGATTTATCCATGAGCAATTTTGACTTCATATTATCCCCATCTCCTAGGAATTATTTTTTTTATATTACTGTCATTCATAAAATTAACTCTATTTGCTTAGAGATCATTTATTCATGAGCAATTTTATTCTCTATTTACTCCTATTTTTCCTAAAAAATACATTTACTATTTTATTGTTGTGACTATGTTATCTTTAGCCATTTTTAGTTCTCAAAGAATTTTAATGCTTACCATTAAGTAAATGTATACATACATTATTCCTACTTTGAGATAAATAGAAATCAAGCATAAAAATAATGTTGTCCCTAAAGTCCGTGAACTGATTTGGCTGGTAAGAGTATATTATGTTTCTCAATCTGCACGTTGAAAGCATTTGGGGAGACTTCACAGATCTCTCATGTCCACCTCACTACAATTGATTGTTCTGTACTGGAGGTCACATGGTAAAAACCATTAAATGCTCCTCAGGTGACTGTAGCATGTGGCCAAATTTTAAAACAATGGAGCTAACACAATTGCTAAATAGTCCCTGAGACCAGATGTTTGAGGTAATTTCCCTAAGCGTAGCTGTTCTTGTTTGTTTTGCTCCTGTCATTTGTGAAAGAGTAGTAACACTGTCTCTGAAGTTCTTTTTCATCACTAACAATGTAATCAACAAGCCATTGCTCTCTTCTACCACGTTTGGTCTTGTGTGATTTGCTTAATGAACCAATAACTATTTCTGTCATTAGGGGTTGTTAACTCTCCTGAATACCATTTTATGAGCATGATGGAATAAATTATCATGCCTTCTCTTTAAAAGACTGTTAGATTACTTCCACACTGTTTTAATGTAATAGTAGTCTTGTAAGTGCAGCTGCTGCCAGTTGAACATAATAAGCCATTATTTGAGAACAGACATATCAAACCATTTAATTTACTGATTGTTGATAAGCTGTAATGCCAAACTATCACTGACAGAGGAAATATTCTCTGACAGAATTAAAATTGGAGTACCATACATTTTTAAGAATGTGGATTAATTTGCATAAGCTAAATAAGAGTATTCAAAGTGTAAGCAAAGACCAGAAAATTATGCTTATCAAAATTGATTTTGAAAATAAGAACTTCCAGATTATAAAACAATAAAGTATATATTTAATAAATATGTATGAGAATTATTTCATTTAAAGTTCTAAGCCAAACAACTGGAATTCTTATTGACACCTCTAATCCCTGGCTCTCCACACACAATTCATGAACGAGGACTCCCAGAGTCTCACGATATGATTACCACTGACGATGTGGTTTCTACCCTTGCCTGCCTATTTCTCCACTCGATCTGTTAAAAAATGTGTCAGACTCTACCATGATTTCATATTCATTTTAGAATAAAATATAAATATTTAAACCAACATTTAATTGTAGCATTGCCCTTTCCCCAAGCTCTATTTTTACTCTTGCCTTCCGAGTTCTAGCCAGGCCTTCAGAGAATTCATCTCTTCGGTTTTGTATTTTTGGTTTGTTTTGTTTTTCTACTTGTTCTATTGGAGATATGATTGATATACGAAAATTGTTGATGTTGAATATATGCAACTTGAAAGGTTTAGACAGAGGTATTCGCCCATGAAATGTAATCACAATGATTACCAAAAAATTATTTATCATCTCCAAAAATGTTTCCCAACCCTTTTGATTCCTTTGTTTGTTTTAATTATTTTTCTTTTGTTTTAAAAGCATAAAACATAAGGTCTATCCCCTTAGCAATTTTTTGTTTTATTTTTTTATTGTTCAAGTATCGTGTGTCCATATTCCTCCCACCACAACCCTGACCCCAGCCATCTCCACATCCTATCCTAGATCCCAGCCCCCTTTGGTTTTGTCCATGTGTCCTTTACCCATGTTCCTGACAACACTTCCCCCTCTTCCCCCCATTATTCCCTCCCATCTACCCCCCCCCCCGTTACTGTCAGTTTGTTTTTTATTTCAATGTCTCTGGTTATATTCTGCTTGTTTGTTTTGTTGATTAGGTTCCACCTAAAGGTGAGATCATATGGTATTTGCCTTTCACTGCCTGGCTTATATAGCACAGTATTAATCATAGGCCCATGTTATACAGTACATTCCCAAAACTTATGTAACTTGCATAACTGAAACTTCGTATCGTTTAAATACACACACACATGCACAAACACGCGCACACACACACAAAGTTTAATTTCCTCATTTCTCCCACTCCTCTACCTTGGCCTTATTCTCCAAATCTCTATTCAAAGGTCATTTTATCATGGAAACCTTATCTGACCTTCCAACTTACTCTCCCAATTTCTCCTTCCTTCCTTCCTTCCTTCCTTCCTTCCTTCCTTCCTTCCTTCCTTCCTTCCTTCCTTCCTTCCTTCCTTCCTTCCTTCCTTCCTTCCTTCCTTCCTTCCTTCCTTCCTTCCTTCCTTCCTTCCTTCCTTTCTTCCTAAAAAAATTTCTTTACTCACAAGCAGTCATGGGAGGATCTCCTTCTGTAGGAACATTTTTACTTCAATTTACAATTATATCTTTATCACTGTATTTGACCAACAATGTCCCTCTTAAAAAATAGATCCATGAGAGTAGGGAATAGTTCTAGTTTTCTTCACAATTGCCCAGGGTAAGGCAAAAGTAAGTTTATAGTTGTGGGTACACAAAACACAGGGTTTATTCTTGTATTATTATTTATTAACTATTGTATTTTATTTTCATAAAAGAACTGTAAGCCTACTTTTGCCTCATCCTATAGATCTTGAGACAAGTGGAATTTCTGAGATGTAGTAGGTGCTAAGCATGTGTTTGTTAAGGGAACAAATCAGAGAATAAGCCTATTAAATTCATGTAAATGTTAAAGTGGTTCAAGCAAATAAAAATAAAAAATAATATTTTATTACCTGTAAATCCCAATTGCCATACATATTTAAGTTGAAGAGAATGAGGAACTTCTGCCTGGCAAATATCATGGCTGATGGATCCACAGTAGCAGGGGTACAGATAAATTAAGCAAATATTCTTCAGAAACCAACAAGAATTTCTTGTGCAGGCATCCTAGAAAAACAAAGTAAAAAGAAATAATAAATACCTTACTGCAATATTTCTGTATATACTTTGGCTTATAAAATACACACCTAAATTCTAAAACCACCAATTAAAAACAAGTTTACAGGACACACCTTTTATTTCATATTTTATATATTTTATTATTTTGACTTGTCTTTCTGTACCATCTGTCACCATTTTTATATTCAAAATGCCTATATAAAATGTTTTGGGCTTTGCCTCACTTCTCAATCGATAACTATAGTCTACAGTCTTCTGTTTGCTGAGCTATAATTTTTTTAATCAAAAGTAACTGTGGTATAAATGATCAGCCGCACTACCTAAAACATGTATGTCCCAGTAGGATTAGTACAATGAAATGCCAAGGTACTATTTGAATTTGTTAATATTTAAATTTTAAATTAATATTTTAATGTAATTAGGGCATATCTTCTAACAAGATGATACATCTATGGTAATCTTTATTATTTTAAAAAACTGAATTGATCACTGGTTATACCCACAATTAAATTAATTACATTTAAATAATTTCAAGTCACGCTTAAGCCATCACTAATTTTAAATACAGGGTACTCTACTGAGGTTTTAGGATGAAATAAACCAATAAGACAATTTTAAGCTCTGGACATGGAGCAAGGTTACATATTCTGTTTAGAGCATACTTGAAAATAATTTCTGCTTCTCTGAGTTTCCAGTGAGCAAGTTCTTCACAAATTTGGCAGAGGGAAGCACAGCTGAGTCATGAGGCACAAGGAGTCAGTAACGTCTGACATTTCCTTTAATGCAATTACTACACCATTTAAACTTCATTCTAATTGTCTGAAGTCATAACCTTCTATCTGGATTCACAATACGATTTCTTAGTGGATACACAAAGTTAAAGTCTGTCTCTGTTAATTAATAAATGACCATATAACTAACTGGAATCAACTGCTAAAGATTAGAAACAATCAGAAAAAAACATTACTTCATTATATTGAATGACAACAAAGAGTACATTTCTATAATTTTTTTAAGTCTCAAGGTTACCAAGAGCATTAACCTTGTAACTTTTATACTAAAACTTAGAATTTCAGTTTTTCTAATGGCATCCACTAATCTTCACTGTCAGTGAACATTGTGTCTTACATGATTTGTTTATTTTTTGAGATAAATATAAGGTATACTATATTGGAATTTATGACTGCACAAAATAAATTTATCAAAATAGAATGTTATGATAGAAATCTATAGAGTCATCTCTTCCCTTCAAACCAAACCAAACAGAGGACCCGAAACACCTCAGTTTAAAAGTCATCTTTTAGGATTTGTTTGTTTTGTATTGTTTGGTTTGTGGGTACGTGTTTTAAACTAAGAAAATCAGAGGCAGCTGCACTGAAGATATACAACCCTCATTTTTGTCTGGCATACTCAGGAGGACGGAATCCACTGAGAAACAAAACTTCATACATTCTCTAGCAGCTCAGGGGGAGATGGAGCAGTATGAACTAGGTACTGACTAATGGTGATAGATTCAAGGCAAAATGACAGGAATTATGTTGGTTCCTGCTCACTGTGGTGTGATGGTGCTCATGTGGCTAGTTTGAACATTACTTGGAGACAAAACAGGTTTCTGACTTTTCTGAATTAAAAGAAAAGTCCCTCACACAATAGGCTTCAAGATAAGTCAAAATAATATATCTGTTATCATACCACCCTATCTTGAATGAGGAGTCTGAAGGTATCCTGACTTAAGACAGCCTGGATTTGCAGGCAGTTATTTGGGATGGGCAATTGAAGGTCTTGTTACCATTTACAAATTATGGCAATACCACTGAATTGCCATTGATTTCAAACCTGTATGTTAGGAGCAGTTTATTTCACTAGACCATATGCAGAAGTTATACGATGCAGGTCTATTTCCGAATCTGACCTCTCATTTATGACTTGTGTGTTCACATGAAAATTCAGACACATCCCCATGCTCCACAACAACAATAAGAAATGTGAAGTACAATATAACCTTTAATGCAGGTTAATAAAACATGAATAAAGTAAAATAGTGAGATGAAAGGGTAGAGGCTTTTGAACAAGAAAACGAAAACCTCATCTTTAAATAGCTCTAAGCTTTTTAGCAGCCAAGGAAAAAGAGAAATCATGAAAATATAGCATTATTCTTTGTATTTATTAGTTTTATTTTTTATTCATTCTAGTTTATTGAGACAATCATATTTGTAGACAATATTCCCAAGAAACAAATGTCATATTGTGAATAATGTTAAACCATTAATCATGAAATGATATTTATGTGGAAAATTATGTGTTAAATTGACCAGAAATTCATAGAGTTTTCCTTGAACAGTGTTACATATTAGAAAACTTAACTTTGAATTTCAATAAGCATTTAAGAGCATAAATTTGGTAAGAAAGTAGAGAAATTAAGACAATGATGAGCTAGTTTCACAATGACAGTAAAAACAAGCAAGAAAATCTAGAAATTTGTTCATAAAAAGAAAAGTAATTTATTTCTTATATCACATGTCAGTATGTGTTATATTAGAAAGGAGCGAATTTTTCAGCACCGACATTCTGTGACTTTTATTTGACACAAAATACCTATTCATAACAAACTTATTACCCTGATTTAACATATCACATGCTGAATGTGTTTGATGATGCTTTTCTCAAGGGTTTTCTTTTTTATAAGGGGCAATCAATTTTGAAGGACAGTATGAAAAAAATAAAAAAAAAACACTGGATGATTAGTTCTTATTTTAACAGCTTCATTTCTGAGGCAAGAAATGGTATATTTTAGATAACCAGCTTCTCACGCTGTATTAAGCATCTTAAACTCTCTCTCAAAGAAACTCTCCCTAAATCATGGCCTATACCTATCATTGCAATGTCTATTTGAAAATGACTCTATTTATATTCATTTTAAGCAATTACTAATTTTTGGGAACTGTACAATAATATGTAGAAATATTTTCTTTTATATAATGAAGATATTTAAAATAGGAATAAGGGATACCTCATCTCTCTCTTTCTCTCTCTCTCTTCTCAAATCCCACCTCTCTTTCTCCCTGTGCATGTATTTGGGAGAGAAATACCATTTTAACATATACATGTGTGCATACATACATATACATATACACTTTATCATTGTTCAAATGGGTTCAAAAATATTATTTTCTTTAATTTTTTTCATGTGAATTTTCAACAGCCTTGAAAGAATTAGTCATATTATATTCTATTCCTTAGTAGATTTATTCATATTATACTTTATCTATTAGATAAAAAGATGACAGTTATGAGGTTCTTTATTCTTTTCTTAAGTTTATATACCTCAGTCTTTACAGGGCTAGAATATAAATCTATATACTTAAGATTGAAATGTCATCATCTTTTACTTTATCATTGTTTCTTCTTTACTCTTAAGTAGAAGTAGTACTGGTGCAAGTGTGTTAATTGATTGACAGAACTAATATTTTCACTAAAAATAGGAAGTATAAAATCTTATAAATCTGAAGTTTGATTGTTTTTCTGACACCACATTTACATTGTCATTTATTTTCACTCATCATTCTTTTTTTAAATTTCTATTTATTTATTTTTTTAGAGAGAGGAAGGAAGGGAGAAAAAGAGCAAGAGAAACATTAATATGTGTCTTGTGCATCCCCTAATGGGGACCTGGGCTGCAACTCAGGCACGTGCCCTGACTGGGAATCGAACCAGGGGCCCTAGGGTTTCCAGGCCTGAGTTCAATCCCTTGAGCTACACTAATCAAGGTCATTTTCACTCATCATTCTTGAGTTAGTACTCATAATTAACATTTTATTTATTTGTAAAACATTTTACCTAGTTAAAAAACTTAATAATTTTTGAAAAAACAGTAATTATTAACCCACACAGAAGAAAATTAAAACTATTTAATTAAGACTCAATTAAGTTTGAAGAACACACATAGACTGAGAGCAAAGGAGTGGGAAAATATTTTAATCAATAGGAAAACAAAAGATAGCAGGGATAGTTATCCTTATATCAGACAAAATATAGTTTAGAAATTTAGTCAAAAAGACAAAGACAGGCTATAATAATAAAAGGATCAATCCATCAAGAAGGTATAACATTTGTAATTTGCATTTAAATTTGGAGCATCTAAATAGCTAAAGTAAATGCTAAAACTATTAAAAGGATAAATGAATAGCAATGTGATTCTACTTGGGGACTTTAATACCCTACTCACAATAAGGAATAGATCAATTCAGAGAATCAAGAAGGAAACAACCGTTTTGAACGAAACTATAAACCTAATAATGTTAATAGTCATACAGAACACATTCTATCCAATAGAAGTATAATATATAATTCTCCAAAGCAGACATGGACATTTTCTAGTACATTTCATGTCCCCTAAACAAAGTCAGCAAAGTCAAGAAAAATTATATTGAGTGTATTTTTTATCACAGTGGTGTGAAGTAAAAGTAAATAACAAGAAAAGCCAAAAAATCCATAAATATATAAAAGTTAAACAACAAACTAATGAAGAACTGATGGATCAATGACAAAAATCAAAGAAAAAGTAAATATATCTTAACACAAGTGAAAACAGAGACAAAGCATTATAAAATGTATAGGATGCAACAAAAGCAGTTCTAAGAGGAAAGTCTGTAGAGATAAATACATACATCAAGGAGAAAGAAATATCTCAATTAAACAAACTTTGTACCTCAGAAAACTTGAAAGTGTGAAAGACCAAAATTAGGAGAAGGGAAGAAATAATAGATCAGAGCAGAAATAAATGAAATGGAGAATAGGAAAATAATAGAAATGATTAACAAAACTAAGATTTGGTTCCTTGACAAGGTTAAGCAATATTGACAAATTTTAGTGAGACCAACCTGAAAAAAAAGATGATGCAAATAAATTATGAATGAAACATTAGATATGTCATCTTATACTGAACAAATAGAAATATAAGAGACTACTGTGAATAAGTGAACATAAAT